CACAGTCACCTCTAACATGTGTGTTTTTTCTCCTTTCAGAGCCCATATTAACTTGTTAGAGCCTCTCACAGTCATGTGCACGTCTGCATGTCTGTAACTACCAGGCTCAACTTTGTAATAATTTCCAAACCATAAATATCTGATACCTGCCTGTTTGATCACTGTGAAGTAACATCTGTAAAATATTTCATGTAGTCTGTTAGTTTTACCTTTAGCTCTAACACAGATCATCTGTCTGAAGATTATGCAGGAAATGACCGAAGCCTCGATGTTTTTAAGCTTTTACTTCATACGTTAAAGACAGTTAATCAGTCATTATGAGGGCTACAAGGCTGAAATTTACTGGATGTCCTCTTCATTTTGTCTACAATAAATGTGCCAAGTTTCATTCTGATATATAGAAGTAGCTCTAAGATATTAGAGTGTATTTCAAAGTGCAAAGCAGAGTATCTCTAACCAATTGCCTCGAAACTCCATAAAAATCTCTCCAAAGTTAACAAATAATGAGGATTCATTCAACTTCTTCTTGCATTTCAAATGTTCCTAAATGCTAAATTCAAGTACAAAATCATGCATTGAATAATTCAAATAAAGATTTACACATTTATTATAATTTAATCGCTTCTTTGTCGACGGATAAAACAGTTTTATTTGATTTCTTTTCGTTCCATTGTAACACCGAGGCTAACTACGTTAACTTCCATATATGGTCAGACAGGTGATTTTCTCGGCTACAAACTGAGAGCGGTTTCACTGCGGTTAATTTCTATTATATGACTGTAGCTGTCAATCAAACGCGCTTATAGCTAGTGTGAAGCTTCACTTTTCTGATTGGCTGATCGGTCTTCAGAGCGTAGGAGAAAGATACCGATTGGTTAACTCTGCTCGTGGGCGTTTAGAGATTTCAGAGATACCGGACTTGATTGATAAAATTTTTATCAGTACTTAAAAATTGGTTTTAATGTCGCAATTTTTGGAGGTTTGTGTAGCTCCGATAAAACTTTACGAGCGAATAAATTCACGTTTTTTCAGGTTATTTTTACTCCCGGCTAAACTCAAACGAGCTGAAGTTAATTTGCGGAGTTTTGTTCTTTAAATCGAGCTCATGTTTGTCTTTTAAAC